GGCTGTCCGCAGTTCGCGACCTTTCCTTAAGCGCATTGCTTTGCGAGGGTTTCTTCACGGGTTCGCAGTCCTCTTCCTCAGAGTCGTCGTCGGTATGGATCTTAAACTTTGGCTCACTTTTTAGAATAGGTTTCAGTTTTAATTGATTTTCAGTCCATTTTCCGGCTTTTCGTTCGTTCTCCTGACCGACAGACCCGACACTCAACATATGCTTTGAACTCAGAGTTGGCTTAAGACTACCGGCGCTAACCTTCTCGTCAAGTGTCGGATCGTTTTCATCGCAATAAATAACAGTTTTCGTAGAGCTTTGTCCGCCATTTGATGCCATAGCGGAACCCTTGAGGCCATTGGCGCTCGTTTTAAGAGCGCTGCCGACTCGACTCACCGGCGCTTCCGTTCGTCCTTTTTTCGTCTTTGCCTTCAGTTTATTCAATGGATGCCTCAGATTGTGGTCTTCGGAATCAGTTTCGTTCAATTCATCCATTTTGTCATTGAAGATGGCTTTTGCGACTCTGGTCTCCAGTTCTTCGAGCGCTCCCTTCAGAGCAGTCATGGGTTCGGCGTTTAAAGTGAGTCCTAAGCGCAACACTTCGGCCGCTTTGCGGCAGTTCTTTGTGTTCTCCAAATGAAAGCTCCAATTGATGTAAAACTCAGACAATTGTTTGGCAAATGAGTTCTCATGAAAGAATTGAAACACTTCCAGAGGACTGTCCACTCGTTTGATAAATTTAAAGAATATACTCAAAAGTCGCGTATCGTTTCGGTATTCCTCCAGAGAGTAGAACTGTTCCACACATTTCTCCAGAAGTGTCTTCAGATTGGCCTCATTTCCACCCAAAGGATAGTTCTGTTCAATCCATTGGATGTAATCGTAATAAACGGACAACAGATCCGAACCATTATATGTCCGCAATTCTGACTCAAACTCTCTGTAAATAAACCAATTTTGGGATCAAATGTTTAGTTCTTTATCCGACAAACCATTCAATGGTTTTCAAAGATAATCACTGAAGACATACTTCCGTCTCATTTCTCTGGCGTTCAGATCACATGTATTTAGCGCTAAAGCATTCTTCAGAGTCTTTATACTTCTGCCAGACTTGAGTGGTTCCACATTCTCTTTCAATAGTTCCCAATCGCAAGACATGATGACTGCGGTAGTGATCA